TCCATCTTTCCCTAATACCTATGAAGATGACACCTCAAAATAAGATGAATTGATGGTGATACACAAGACAGACTGCACCAACATACCTGAAGACCTCTCTCCTTCTCCAGGGAGAAGAAACTTTTCTTAAGTGGAAAATAAGTAACTTTCAGACTGAGCATGTACCTTCTGTAGACAGCTTTCAGCATCCCAGAATTTATTTCAATTGAAATTTTACAAGACAGGTGTGCAGGTGTGTAATTCTATTGCCAGGGAATTATCAGTTAATTCTGTAATATTTAGGTTAAAAAGTTGGGCCAGATGGACAGATTAATTTTTGTATTCATTCCATTGCAATTATCAGAAATATTTAGACATCTCTGTATGCTTTAGAACACTCAAGTACCACATACTACTTGGAAAACTTGAAAACAGGTCATCTGTATTTATCTACCTCAAAATGGGATACTCAAAGCTTACCTATTTATTAGACTTATGTCCCACCATTTCCTCCTTTTAAGGAACTCAAAGAGGCTTATATTATTCTCCTCCTTCTGCTCTCTATCTTATCCCCACAACAACAACCCTGTGAACAACCACAACATGAGCCAAGATCATGTGATGGGCCAAAACCCAGTTGGCTCCAAGGACAAGCAGGGTTTAGAACCCAGACTGCCAGAGTCTCAGACCCACACTCTTAACTACTACTCCACACTGACTCTCTATTTCAAATCGTCTAAAATATTTCTACAGCAATCAGAAAGTTTGCAGCTTGTATACATGTATTCCAAAAAATGCAGATTATAAAAGAGCAGAAAAGGACTGAAAATAGACATTGCATTTCATTCATCAAAAGGGGATATAAAGCAGCTTTCCCCAACGTGGTACCCTCCAGATATTTTGGACCACAAATCCAAGCATTCCTGATTGCTGGCTGTGCTGGTTGAGAGGACTGAACCCAAACACATCTGCATAGCGCATGGCTGCAGCAGGCTGGTATAAAGTATATCTTAAAATATCTCAACCCTCCACCCCCCCCCAAAAAAAAAAACAAAAACAAAGACAGAATGCTATATGTACTTACTAAGAGCCATTGGTACAGTGGGATAGATGTAAATCAGGCTAGAAGTCAGACTAGGATCAGGGTAGTTTTTATATTTACTTATGCATAAATGCATCAGGCATGGTGGAACATATAGAATCAGGCTTCAAATATCCCTCCATACTACGGCTATATTTTCCCTGACTCCAGTAACTTTGATAATGAACATGCATTTTCTTGAAGGTAGTATTATTGAAGTCACATAGGCCTTTTATTTTCTAACTGGGGAAAACGTCTCTGGATAACACAGGAAAGAGCAAACACTGTGGAAGGTATACAAGGTGATAGGAAGGTAACGGCAGAAATATCTGCCAGTCAAAACCCGTCTCTGAGACTTCACTATTCATCCCAGCAAAGAGAATACACTTTCTTCCTGCTGATAAGACTAGAGGGGGACTTAGGAGAGACATTTTTCTTCTCTGGTTCTGGCAGTCTTCACTCTTGAAATGTAAACCTTCCCAGAGATAGAAGCAAATATTTAAATGCTGCTAACCAGTGATCTCACTAGGAAAGCAGAGACTGGCATTTGTTTACCCTGTGAAAGGATTCTTTTGTTTTTAAGTCACAGAATCTCTTGCTGGCCCCAGCAGCTCTGAAGTGTACTTCCCTTCCACAAATAAAGAAATCACAGTGGCTCAATTATTTATTTATTTTTGAACAACAATGGCAGCGAAATGATTTCCACTGGCTGCACTTCTTTTCAGTACATGTGTGTGTGTGTGTGTGCGCGCGCATGCAGGGGGTGGGGGACATGTTGGATGTGCCACAGCATCTTTCACCTGTGGAATTCTTTTTCCAAAGTCTATTTACCTTGCATTCCCTCTTGATAAATGCAAGCCTTCTCTGTCAGCATATTTGCTCGGCAAAGCTTAGTCTCTGTAGTCACCAACTTCTGAGTGCAAAGTGCCTTGAGACACTTCATGAAAGGCACCAAATGCATGCAAATTGTTATGGGTAGTTTCTTGACAGTGTGTGTCTCTACAACGATCACTTGCATTTTCTCTAATGCTGGGAGAAAGCAGCATTTTCTGCTTTGGGGATTCACTGAATAAAAACAGCTTAAAATATATACAATTTGATCAGGTGAACTGATACACCAAAACGAGTATTTCTCCTTTCATTCTTGTCTGGGAACTTTGTGGAAGGGAAAAGGCTGCCCTTTAAGGAATATTCTTTGAGAGTCAATACATGTGGTATTAACTAAAACCAAGAAAGAATACGCAACATGCTGTTCCGTACACTGGAGGACACCCAGTACCACAGCAGATGATATAAAGAATAGACAGTGAGAAGAAATATAAAGAATGGATGGTGTGAAGATTTTATCAAAGAACTTCTCTGTGGTGATATTTTACCAGGCAAACTAGTATGCCCTTTGATGACTTGGTCCTGATCTAACTTGAATATTCATAGTTAATAATAATTACTAATTGTAATATTTGGGGAAATGGATATACTATCAATTGAAATGGAACAAAATAGTCATGGGGAATGTACAGTGCACAGATTGAATCTGGCCCACGAGGGACCCCATCTAGCCTACCCCTTTCCCCTGCTGCAGCACTGGAGAAGACAAAGCCTGTCCTATCTCTGATCTACAGCAGACCAACAATCATCCCTTTCTCTTTACCCACCAAGGAGGTGGAGGACCTGGCTTATCTCTGATCAGCTGCACACTCCCTGTTGCCCAGTTCCAGCACTGACAGAGGCAAACAGACTCATTCTTCTCTTGGTGTTCAAACTTATCCCTGGTTAGCAAGCCCATCTCTCAGCATTTTAATTTTATTTATCTTCACATTTACATATACTGCCCCTAGGCTCTGGGGGGTTGCGCTGGAGGAATTGAGGCAGTGGTCCTGTCTACAGCTGGCATGCAGGTCCCAGCATGGAGCCAATTCACTTCTCAAGTCAAAGATAATTCCTCGTTCCAAAGGAAAGCTTCCAGTCCTAGACCTTTTTCACTAGTCTAAGTTGAGCAAAATTCTGATTTTCTTCTCTTTTCCCAAGCACATCATGGGACACGGGCTGCATGACATGCAGTTGTGTGTAAATTTTGTGTGTGTGTGACAGAGAGAGAGAGAGAGAATGAGACAGACAGAAACATCCACAGGAAGCTGCAATTTAGCCTTTTCCCACTCAACAGCTTCAAAGCTGCTTTTCTTCCCATAAGGCAGAAGACAGAGGGATCTCTAGCAATTTCTTCAATTCCCAGAGGCTGTAATTCACTCAAATTATTAGATTAGCATGAAGGGATCAGCCATGGCCCATTGGTGGAACACATACATTGCGTGCAGCAGGCCCTGCTTCTACTCTTTCTAGTTCCTGACATGCCCAACCTGGTGCCCTCCAGGTGATTTGGTTAGGACAGAACTCCCATCAGCCCCAGGCCAAAATGGGCAATAATGGGGATCTGAACTTTGGCCTAGGGAAAAGCTGAACAGCCTTAACAGTCTGGTTATTACAACCTGTGGATTTCACAAGTGAGTACTGGTCTAAATTTTGGCACTGGTCCCAAACAGGAACAAGCCTGCTGCTTCTCTTTGTTCACCAAAATGCAAGCACCTATGAAAGATGCCTGCTATCCAGTACGGAGGCTGCAATTCAAATGACTACCTGGATTTCTTTCAGGGGGGGGAGCACTGAGCCTGGGCAATTTGGCACAGACCGTGCTATCATCTACCACGGGTGGAGCTGCTTGCAGTGAGCTGGGATGATGTGCCAAGGAGGACAAAGAAGCAAGTGGTACCTTCTGTCTCTGCAGAGAATAGCAGCTGCTTGGCTGCTCTGCCTTGCAAGCCCCAACAGCTCGGCTGAGGACCACCTTTGCGATTTCAGCATCAAACACTGATTTAAACCAGTTGAGGAGAAGGTAAGAAAGCTGCTCACCCAACCCCAGTTTTGGGGGGGAATAGGTAAGAGCATATTGCATGACTGGATTCAGACTCTATACAGGTCTGGGTAGCTAACACAATTATTTTAAACAGAGCTGTAAACATAGGCTTCCAGCAGGGTATTCTCTTAGTTCAAGGGAAAAGCAAAAGGGGAGGTAGGAACTGAAGTTAGATTGTATTTAAAGATTGAATCTGGCCCATGAGGGACCCCATCTAGGATTAAAGCAATGAGAAAAGCTTTGCTTTTAAGTTACTTTATGAGCAATGGTCAGATATCTTGCATCTTTCAATATATGTTAACTGCATCTGTTGCTTTGAAATGTATTCCATTTCCATTTTAACTCAAGGTCCAGCTCTAGGTGCACCAGGGGGGGAATGGATATAACTCAGCACACATGATGTCTGCCAGTCAGTGTTAACAATACTAGGCCAGATGAACCAAAGTTCTAACATGATATACAGCAGCTTCCAACAGAATGCACCTGACAAGCAGACATGACACTTGAAAGTATAAAAAGCATTGTCCCTCAAAGGTAAACCTTCCTTCTCACTAATCACCCAGACCCAGAAGTATATTAGTAACTGATCAGTTTGGACTGAGAGTACATCAAAAGGCAGAAAAGGTCCCTTTGCTTCCTTTAAAATCAAAGTTCACAGAACGATCAGGCTCATACGTGATTAGCATTATTATTACTGTAAGCCATAGCAGGTTACAAACCAGAGGTGACTAGTCTTGCTGTTTGAACCAGTTAATTCTAGCTTATAAGCCACCACAGCTGATTGCACCGTGTAACTCAGGCAAGATATGGAAGAAATGGCCTCTGAACTGGCAGGTGGCTTCAGGCTGTGCATGATTTTTTTTACTCCAATCTGCATTTTCCAATGTATAATTCCTGTCTGAAATAATGCAATGCCATTGATTTTTTAAAGTACATTCTACATATTCTGGCTGAAATACCTCACCCACCCACCCCCAACAACACACACACTGCATATGAAAGCAGAAAGCATGCAACTTGTCTACTTACATGTCTGGAAAAGAATCCATCGACCTCTTGGAGCAGCTTTTCCTGGCATTCAGGATTGATGGCTAGCAAGTACGTGGCAAAGGAGAGGGTGCTGTTGGTGGTTTCGTAGCCTGCAATCAGGAATAAGGAGGCCTGGCCAGCTATCTCATCATCACTCAACATTTTCTGCTGCTTCTTAGCTGGGGCTTTGCTGGCAGCTGTTTTGCTTTTCTGGTTGCAAGAGTCAGCTTGGTTGACTGTGTCAAAATGCTCCATGACTATGTCATCAAAAGAGCCTCGGGCATCAAGCATCAACTGGAGGAAGTCCCTGCGTCTCTGTAAAATGTACAGTGAAAGGAGTTAGTGAGTGAACCAACAAGTGGATGTACATTTGCCCTGACAAAGTTTATCAAGTGTCCACTCTAGAAAAATGGACAAGCCTAAAGTTGAGCATCGCTTAAGAATTACTCATACACTGGACTTATTATAAAGGCTGGATGGTATTGTCCCTCTATTCAGATTCAAACTACAGGTGACGGGCACTTTGTGGTTCAACTTGTATTTTTCAAGGCAGCTGAAAAGGAGAGCAGAGTGCCAGTTTTTGTTATGGGGGGGGAGGGGAAGATTTAATGCTGTCCCTTTATTTGGCTTTTTCCTCAAATCTCCTGCCCTCCCTTTTCTTTCTCATCTGTGGGGAAAAGATATAGGATGTTGTACCTTTCTCTCACAGAAAGAAAACTAGCTGGTGTCAATTTTGTGCAGATTCGCAGAGGAAAAGGAAAGGATTACACATACTCTCCACTAGTTCTCTGTTTTACTACTGAGGAGCTTGGCCTTGTTACCATTTTAAGTATAATTCTAAAGTCTTGACTTATAAAACTTCCATAATGCCCAAGCAAAGTATGACAGGTAAAATGACTATATAGGGCAAGCTGGAAGATGCACACACGCTGTTCCTTTTGGGATAGACCAGTCTTCCTGAACCTGAAGGCTTCTAGATGTTTTGGACTTCAACTCCCATCAGCCTCAATCAGCATTGTCCATGGTCAGGAAAAGATCTGGAAAACTTCAGCTCGGAGGAGGCTGATATACATCACAAGGGGAATTTTTACTGCATTGCAAAGATTGTGGGGTAGGGAGACCTTCCTCCTACCCAGGTTCTAACCAAATCAAAGCATACACCTGATTGACCAGTCAGACCCCTAAAGAGGAAAAGCCCAATATCAGAGTTTTGGGCTTCCCAGTTAATATTCTCCTTGGCATCTGAAAAGCTTAGGGAGTTCTCCCCAGAACCTGCTTCACTACACTTTTGTATTCATGGCACACTTTGCAAAAAGACTACTACCACCAATGGAGCTTTTTCCTATTCTTAACCCCTGTGTGGAGGGTGGGATTTGGGGGAAATGGTATGGGGGAAGTTTAATCCTCATCATGGAGAACAGTAGCTTGGATTCAAACTGGAGCTGCACTAGAATAAAAATATAACAGAGACCTCAACTGCATAGTATATGATCAGTGTTAATATGTATTCTAGCTCTTAGATTCTGGCTATCACTTCAAACATTCCAAGTACATTCCATGCTTATTGCAAAGTTGTCACTTCATATTCTTGCCACAGGCTGCAGCAGAACATTTCATCCAGCGTTTATACCATAAATTGCTAGAGCATGGAATATGAATCCTTGAAAATACTGTCACTCAGCAAAAGTCTACTTGCTATCACTCTACTACAGCTGGTTTGAACACATAGACCAAATAGTTTGTTAACCATGGGCTGTTTGTGACTACATACGAATGTGTGAACACAGTGGTTTCTTCCTGCTTGCTTGCTTTTCAATTAACAAGCTAACAACATCCCATTCCTGAATTGTTTCATGATGTGCAGACCCAGGAAATCTAGGTGCAGGGATTAAACAACCCAGACTTAAGCCACTGTGCCTTGTTGGATTAACTCTGGTATTGGGTTTGCATATCATGAAACAACTCTGGAATGGGGGTAAACAACCTGGGTTAAACAACCCAAGAACTGGCTGTGGTGTGCGAATAACATCACAGTCTATTTTGCAAACCAGAGTGAACTACATTATGGTATCAGATATATTTTCATTTTCTCAAATATCAGGATACTCTGCTGATATTTTTTGCAAGAGCAAAAAAGATGTAGAAGGGACCACACTACTGCAGACTGTTATGAGCTGGAAAGCAATATCAAGGCCAGAATGCTTCTTAAAAATAATTCAATCTGCATTACTATTTTTTTAAGGATCAAGAGAGATCTTTTAAATTATATTCTTTGAGCCATGGTAAGAAACAAAATGGAAAAATGGGATGAAGGCAGAGGAAAAGGGCAAATGAGAAAAGGGCATGGACATCATTCATTATATATGTCAAAGGACTTTATCAGATCATTGACATGGGAATGGTGAAAAACAAAGTAGGAAGAATATTTCACATATGCACTTTGGCTAAGTAGACTAAGTTAGCGAAGTGCAAGATTTAAAAAATACATGCAGTAAATTACTCAGGGGTCAACACAACCAATTACTTCCTTTAAATCTAAATTGTGTGGAATTCATTGTGTTGGTTATTCCCAAGCCCTGCAATCTTTTTCCCCAGATGAACTTCACGATTTCCAAACATCCTTCATGGATATGCCAGGCTAGTGAAGCATGTAGTGCCAACATTAGTGTTTCCTGTGATTAATGAATGGATAATATTCTATCATTGTGTGAACAATGTCAGGAATGTTTCCACAGTTCTTTTTTCCTTTTTGAAAAGGCACAACCAACCAGGAATGTCTCTTGCAAAATCTCCATAGCAATGTACCAGTCCACTACCTCTAGAGCCAAGTTACAATAACTGCTGTCAACAGCGTGGTTCAGGTTACCGTTTCTCAGAGGGTAATAAACCAAGATATGCATACTGCTTGTTCATGTGACCCTTTCCCTTCTCTGTTCTTGACATAAATCCAAAGGTCTCCAGTTAACCACAGCTTCTCATTACAGCCAGTCCGGGAAATTAGGTTTGGAATGAGCCAAGATTGTACACCTAGGGTAGGCAACCTTTGGGGACTTGTGGACACATTTGACAATTAGAGAAAATATCATGAGTACCACCATGAAATGGTTGCCATGGGAGGTGTGGTTACTCACAAAGGACAAATAACCTGCCCAAGCAACTGTGCACAAAGCAGGGATGGGGGCTACATTGAGCCTCAATACATTCCTTTGAGTTTTCAACATGTTTTTCCTTTTTCCTGCCCTTTTTTAATGGCTGGGAATGTAGCAGAGGAAGTCACTGGTATGTAGCCACTGACTACCTTCATTTCCCAGGTATGTCTTTGAGCCCCATCACATAACCAGAAGCATTCATGGGAAGCCATTACCTTCTTTAAAAGTGATCCAAACTGCCATTAAAAAATGGATTAACTTTTAAAAATGGGAGCGTTAGGGTACCTTGGCAGGCTGAGGGTATATTTGTGACCTTGGGCATCATATTGCCTACTTGTGTCTTAAATCAACTTCAAGGTGTGGTTTAAGACATAGGTAGACAGCCTAAAGTGATGGCCTGTTTCGAATCTGGTAACTGTATTTGCTCTGTTCTGACAAAACAGGAAACTATGGATAATTGAAGAGTTCTGCTTTTAATTGCACTGTTCCAAGAAGGGAGGGAAAAAGAAGCTACATGTGCAGGCACAAGACTCATTTATATCTTATTAATTAAGCCAAGTTATGATTATCTCAACAAAGTCAGTATCAAAGGATTTTATAAGCTGTTGACTAAGAGATTAAAATAGTTGCGAGTTCCATGATTAGAACTCTCAGTGCCCTTTGATCTTATAAAAAGCAGTATGCGGTGGGGTTGATAAAGATCCGAACAGAGTCGATTTTGCCTTGAGAACTGCCCTCCTTATAGGCAGCTATTTGCCTGTATTAGTATACATTATGAGAATGGATTTGGGGATGTTATACAAGTGTGTGCGCATCTGTGAAGGGATAGGGTGTCCAGTAGCAATAATGATCTTAAAGAAGTGTTCAGAACCTTTCTGCATCACTTGCTTCAACCTGAATCTCTCACCTGTCACATCAGCACTTTTTAGAATAGTAGTTCTAACCCAGGCACTTCAATATCACATAATTTTATTCTTAGACTTGCATTAGTTTTAAAATCTGATTTTCATAGAAATGTATCCCCACAATCATGTAAACTCATTCCTATAGACTTAAGATATAACTGTTCGAATATATTGGCTTTAAAATACATGCAAACCTTTAAATAATTGTCCAAATATATTAGTTTTAAAATGTATGCAAAACCTGTTTAAACAGGAATTACAGTGGGGCAGGAAGTATGTGTGCCATGGGAAGCAAAATCATACATTTTCAAACTATAACTTGAATTTAGCCTTAGGTCACAACCAGAGAAAATTTAATGAAATCAATTTGGATGTAAGCACTTTAACTGATGTGCTGAAGTTCCATTGATTTCAGCAAGGCTTAAGTGCACTTAGCTTTCACTGAACCCTGGTTTTGATGGTTTGTTCTGACGCTGTTTGAATCCTTTGAAATAAATCCCGAAAGAACTGAGAACTGTGTCAATGCAAGGAAGAAAAGGAAGGCTCTATTTTTCATACCATAATTATGAAAAATGTTAATTCATTTCTCTCCTGGTTTAATTCACATGAGCAGTGAGTGCTTCATATTTGCAAGCCCTCAGAAGGCTCAGCCAACTGTAACAGATACTAGAAACTATGTCAGCACAACTAGCATCCATATCTGGAGGAAGTCTTGCTCTATGTGTCAAAGGCATAGTGTCCAGGATACTTGAAACGATTATTTATTATTTATTTAAAACATTTCTATGCCGCCCCATCGCAACAAAGCCTCGGGGCAGCTCACAACACATAAATAAATACAGAAGTAATAAAATAAATAAATACTAAATTATACAATAAATAACACCCCCCAGTGCATTCTCGGCTAATTTAAAAAAAAAACCCTAGTTAATAAATAATTAACAGTTAAAATAAGTTTTAAATAAAAAGGTCTTAGCCTGGCAGCGAAAAACAAATAACGACGGCGCCAGGCAGACCTCTCTGGGAGCGCATTCCATAGATGGGGTGCCACCGCAGAGAAAGCCCTCCTCCGGGTGCTCACCCTCCTAATTTCATTCACAGAGGGTTCCCGGAGGAGGGCATCTGCTGCTGACCTCAAGGGGCGGGAGGGCACATATGGGTGCAAGTGTTCCTTTAGATAACCAGGTCCCAAGCCGTTGAGGGCTTTATAGGTCATAACCAACACCTTGAATTGGGCCTGGACTTCAATTGGGAGCCAGTG